CAGGAACACCAGGAACGCCGGTACCGAGCACCGGTGGCACCGGTGACACTCACGCGTGCTTGGCCTCCCGCTCCAGCAGCGCCTCGTTGAGCAGCCGGTGCAGCTCCCGCTCGTCCTGCGCCGCCCCCGCCACCCGCTCCGCCAGGTCCCGCAGCCGCAGCCGCCGCCGGGGGTTCGGGAACGACGGGTTGGCCACGGCCTGCACCGGATGGACACGGTCAGCGGGGGGATGGAGTGACCGCGGGGACAGAGGGGACACAGCCGGAATGGACAGGGGACAGAGCCAGAATGGACAGGTGACAGAGCCCGAATGGACAGGGGACAGAGGGGACAGAGCCGGAATGACCATGAGCATCAAGGAGAGAGAGCCGGAATGGACAGGGGACAGAGCCGGAGTGACCGGGGACAGAGCCGGAGTGACCAGGGACAGCGCGGGGATAGAGCCGGAGTGACTGTGGGGCACAGATGGAGTGACCATGGGGACAGAGCCGGAGTGACCAGGGACAGGGCCAGAGTGACCAGGGACAGAGATGAAGGAAACGGGGAGACAGAGGGGACAGAGCCGGAGTGACCAGGGACAGAGACGGAGTGACCAGGGAGAGCGAGAGGACAGAGCCAAAGTGACCACGGTCAGAGCCAGACTGACCACGGGGACAGAGTCAGAGTGACCACAGGCACTGAGGGGACAGAGCCAGAGTGACCGGGGACAGAGGGGATGGAGCCGGAATGGACAGGGGACAGAAGGGACAGAGCTGGAGTGACCACAGTCAGCGGGGGGACAGAGCCAGAGTGGACAGGGGACAGAGATGGAGTGACTGCGGGCACCAAGGGGACAGAGCTGGAGTGACCAGGGACAGAGCCAGAATGGACAGGGGACAGTGAGGGGACAGAGCCGGAGTGGACAGGGGACAGAGATGGAGTGACTGCGGGCACCAAGGGGACAGAGCTGGAGTGACCGGGGACAGAGCTGGACTGGACAGGGAACAGCGGGGACAGAGCCGGAGTGACCGCAGGGACAGAGCCAGAGTGGACAGGGGACAGAGCCAGAGTGACCGCGAGGACAGAGCCAGAGTGGACAGGGGACAGAGCTGGAGTGACCCTGGGGACAGAGCCGGAGTGACCGCGGATGAGAGCCAGAGTGACTTGGGACACTGAGGGGACAGAGCCGGAGTGACCGGGGACAGAACTGGAGTGACCAGGGACAGGGCTGGAGTGACCAGGGACAGAGGGGACAGAGCCGGAATACAGCGGTCAGTGAGGGGACAGAGCCGGAGTGACCGGGGACAGAACTGGAGTGACCAGGGACAGAGCTGGAGTGACCAGGGACAGAGGGGACAGAGCCAGAATGGACAGGGGACAGAGGAGACAGAGCCGGAGTGACCGTGGGGACAGAGCTGGAGTGACAGCGGAACAGAGCCGGAGTGACTTGGGACACTGAGGGGACAGAGCTGGAATGACCGCAGGGACAGAGCCGGAGTGGACAGGAGACAGAGCTGGAGTGACCGCAGGCACCAAGGGGACAGAGCTGGAGTGACCAGGGACAGACCCAGAATGGACAGGGGACAGAGCTGGAGTGGACAGGGGACAGAGATGGAGTGACCGCAGGCACCGAGGGGACAGAGTCGGAGTGACCAGGGACAGAGCTGGACTGGGCAGGGAACAGAGGGGACAGAGCCAGAGTGACCAGGGACAGAACCGGAGTGGACAGGGACAGAGGGGACAGAACCGGAGTGACCGGGGACAGAGCCGGAATGGACAGGGGACAGAGAGGACAGAGAGGACAGAGATGGAGTGACCACGGGGACAGAACTGGAGTGGACAGGGGACAGAGTCGGAGTGACCACGGGCACCGTGGGGACAGAGCCAGAGTGGATAGGGGACAGAGCCTGAGTGACCACAGGCACTGAGGGGACAGAACCGGAGTGACCGGGGACAGAGCCAGAGTGGACAGGGGACAGAGTTCGAGTGACCACGGGGACAGAGCTGGAGTGACTGGGGACAGAACTGAATGGACAGGGGACAGAGCTGGAGTGACCACGGTCAGCAAGGGGACAGAGCCGGAGTGACCCTGAGGACAGAAGGGACAGAGCCAGAGTGGACAGGGGACACTGAGGAGACAGAACCAGAATGGACAGTGTCACCATGGGGGCAACACTGGAATGGCCGGGGGTCACTAAGGGGGTGGCCCAGAGGTCACCGAGAGGTGGCACCAGAATGCCCAGGGTCACCAAGGGGGTGGCACCGCAATGACCAGAGGTCACCACGATGTCCAGGGGTCACTGATGGGGTGGCACTGCAATGACCAGAGGTCACCACGATGTCCAGGGGTCACCAAGGGGGTGGCACCGCAATGGCCAGAGGTCACCACAATGTCCAGGGGTCACTGATGGGGTGGCACTGCAATGGCCGGGGGTCACTGCAATGTCCAGAGGTCACCGAGGGGATGTCACCGTTCCCCAGACAGGAATTCCAGAATGGTCACCCTCCGGCCACCCCTCCGGCCGCACCTCTCCGTCATCGTCCCCAAAGTCCAGCGAGTTGCGGCTGCCGGCCTCGGGCTCCTCGGGACACTCCGGCCGCTCCGGCCACTCGGGGCTGCGCCGGACGCTCCCGTTGCGCTCCGGGGCTGTGCCCGGCGGGGGAGGGGACGCGCCGTGGGACGAGGTCAGGGACAGCTTCTGGGGGGAGGGGACAGCGGGGTGGCACCAGGGGGACCAGAGCCACTGGGGCCACTGGGGCCACCAGGACCACCAGGGCCACCAGGGCCACCCATGTCCCCAGTGTCCCCAATGTCCTCAGTGTCCTCAGTGTCCCCATACCCCAATGTCCCCATTGTCCCCATTGTCCCCATGTCCCCAGTGTCCCCAATGTCCCCATTGTCCCCATGTCCCCACTGTCCCCACTGTCCCCACTGTCCCCATTGACCCCAGTGTCCCCAGTGTCTCCATGTCCCCAGTGTCCCCAATGTCCCCCAATGTTCCCACTGTCCCCAGTGTCTCCATGTCCCCCATGTCCCCCATGTCCCCAATGTCCCCATATCCCCAAGTGTCCCCACTGTCCCCAGTGTCACTGACCAGCCCGTTGTTGGTCCCCCGCTGCAGTGGCCGTGCCACCACCAGATAGGTGACAATGCCGCGGTCCCTCAGGTACTCACACTGTCCCCATGTCCCCAATGTCCCCCGTGTCCCCCGTGTCCCCAATGTCCCCATGTCCCCATATCCCAGTGTCCCCAGTGTCACTGACCAGCCCGTTGATGGTCCCGCGGCGCGGTGGCCGTGCCACCACCAGGTAGGTGACGATGCCGCGGTCCCTCAGGTACTCGCAGCGGGCGCCGCCCTCGCCCGGCTCCACCTCAAACTCGCCCTTGAGGCAATCGACGGTGCTCTGGGACACGTGGACACGGCTGGGGACAATGGGGACACTCAGGGGACAGCAGGGACAGTGAGGGGACAGAGGGGACAGGCAATGGGTGGTGCTCTGGGACACGTGGACACAGCTGCGGACAGTGAGGGGACAATGGGGACAGTCAGGGGACAGTGAGGGGACAATGAGGACAGTGAGGGGACAATGGGGACAGTGAAGACAGTCAGGGAACAATGGGGACAGTGAGTGGACAACGGGAACAGTGAGGGGACAGTGGGGACAGCAGGGACAGTCAGGGGACCATGGGGACAGGAAATGGATGGTGCTCTGGGACACGTGGATACGTCTGGGGACAGAGGGGACAGTCAGGGGACAGAGGGGACCGTGGGGTCACTGAGTGGACAGTGGGGTCACATGGGGACAGTGGGGTCACATGGGGACAGAGGGGACAGAGGAGTCACATGGGGACAGAGGGGACAGTGGGGTCACCAAGGGAACAGCGGGGTCAGCCGGGCCATATGGGGACACCGCAGCACCCAATGTGCACCTGCCTGCCCGAGGGGACATCTGGGGACACCGCGGATCACCAGGGCCACAGGGGCCACACATGGCCACTGGGGGGCCACCAGGTCACCCCTGGCCATTGGGGCCACCTGGTCCCGGCCCTGCTGCCCCACCAGGGACACTGACCAGGAATGCTGCGTGATCCTGACCCACTGTGGTCACTCACTGGGGATCCCCCCACTGTGGTCACTCACCCACCATGGTCACTCACCCACCGCGGTCACTCACCCACCACGGTCACTCACTGGGGATCCCCCCACTGTGGTCACTCACCCGAGGATGCCACCCTCCAGTGGTCACTCACTGGGGATCTCCCCATTGTTGTCACTCACCCACTGCAGTCACTCACCCCCCACTGTGGTCACTCAACCACCGCGGTCACTCACCCGTGGATCTCCCCATTGTGGTCACTCACCTGAAGATCCTCCCACCGTGGTCACTCACCCGGGGATGCCACCCTCCAGTGGTCACTCACCTGAAGATTCCCCCATTGTTGTCACTCACCCACTGAGGTCACTCACCCCCCACGGTCACTCACCCACTGTGGTCACTCACCCAGGGATGCCACTCTCCAGTGGTCACTCACTGGGGATCCCCCCATTGTTGTCACTCACCCACTGCGGTCACTCACCCACTGTGGTCACTCACCCCCCGCGGTCACTCACCCACTGTGGTCACTCACCTGGGGATCCCCTACTGTGGTCACTCACCCGCGGATGACACCTTCCAATGGTCACTCACCCACTGCGGTCACTCACCCACTGTGGTCACTCACCCTCCATGGTCACTCACCCACTGCGGTCACTCACCCGGGGATCCCCTACTGTGGTCACTCACCCGCGGATGACACCCTCCAGTGGTCACTCACCCATAGCGGTCACTCACCCCCCCACGGTCGCTCACCCAGGGATCCCCTCACCGCGGTCACTCACCCTCCGTGGTCACTCACCCACCACGGTCACTCACCTGGGGATCCCCTACTGTGGTCACTCACCTGGGGATGACACCCTCCAGTGGTCACTCACCCACAGCAGTCACTTACCCCCCACAGTCACTCACCCGGGGATCCCCTCACTGCGGTCACTCCCCCTCCGTGGTCACTCACCCACCGCGGTCACTCACCCGGGGATCCCCTCACTGCGGTCACTCACCCACCGCGGTCACTCACCTGGGGATCCCCTACTGTGGTCACTCACCTGGGGATGACACCCTCCAGTGGTCACTCACCGACTGCGGTCACTCACCCCTCACTGCGGTCACTCACCTGGGGATCCCCTCACCACGGTCACTCCCCCCACCATGGTCACTCACCCACCAGTGGTCACTCCCTGCAGCGGTCACTCACCCAGGGACTCCTCCAGCCTCCATCTTGTTGGCCACGGTGACGTCRGTGGACCAAACGTCGTACTGCCATCGCTTCTGTCCCAGGACACCGCCCAGCACAGCACCGCTGTGCACACCCACACGCATGTCCAGCGCCGTGTGCGTCCGCTCCCGGACCGACCTGCGGACACGAGTGACCACTGGGAATGGACAGTGACCACTAGGAATGGACAGTGTCCGCTGGGAATGGACAGTGACTGCTGGGAATGGCCAGTGACCATGGCCCACGTGCATGTCCAGCGCCGTGTGTGTCCGCTCCCGGACAGACCTGCACCAGACATGGAGTGACCACTGGGAATGGATAGTGACCACCAGGAATGGACAGTGACCAATGGGAATGGACAGTGACCGCTGGGGATGGACAGTGTCCACTGGGAATGGACAGTGACCGATGGGAATGGACAGTGACCACCAGGAATGGACAGTGACCATGGCCCAGGACACCGCCCAGCATGGCACTGCTGTGCACACCCACGCGCATGTCCAGCGCCATGTGTGTCCGCTCCCGGACCGACCTGCACCGGACATGGAGTGACCACTGGGAATGGACAGTGACCAATGGGAATGGACAGTGTCCGCTGGGAATGGACAGTGACTGCTGGGAATAGACAGTGACCGATGGGGATGGACAGTGACCCCTTGGAATGGACAGTGACCGATGGGAATGGACAGTGACCACCGGGAATGGACAGTGACCACCGGGAATGGACAGTGTCCGCTGGGAATGGACAGTGACTGCTGGGAATGGACAGTGACCGCTGGGAATGGACAGTGACCACGGCGGGGCAAGGAATGACCGTGCTGGGAATGGACAGTGACTGCTGGGAATGGACAGTGTCCGCTGGGAATGGACAGTGACTGCTGGGAATGGACAGTGACCGATGGGAATGGACAGTGACTGCTGGGAATGGACAGTGACCGATGGGAATGGACAGTGACCACGGCAGGGCAAGGAATGACCGTGCTGGGAATGGACAGTGACTGCTGGGAATGGATGATGGCCACTGGGAATGGAGAGTGGCCACTGGGAATGGACAATGAGGGCTGGGAATGGACGATGGCCACTGGGAATGGACAGTGGCTGCTGGGAATGGACAGTGGCCACTGGGAATGGACGATGGCCACGCTGGGACAAGGAACGACCACAGCGGGAATGGCCGATGGCCACACCAGGACTCAGAATGACCACAGTGGGAATGGCCAATGGCCACGGCTGGACATGCAATGACCACGGCAGGAATAGCCTATGGCCACACCAGGAATGGCCAATGACCACGCCGGGAACACCAGATGGCCACAGGGACCCAGCCCAGCCCAGACCGCTCCCCATGGTCAGCCATCGCTAGTTCATTTGCACCCCAGCAGCATTTTTCATCCCCAGTTCCCCATTTCCATCCCATTCCCATTCTTGTTCCCATTCCCATTCACCATCCCAATCCCCATTCCCATTCCCCTTCTTGTTCCTGTTCTCATTCCCATCCCATCTCATTCTCAACACCATTCCCCTTCCAATCCCTATCCCCATCCCCATTCCCATCCCATCCCATCCCGTCCCCATTCCCATTCCCATTCCCATCCCATCCCCATTCCCACTCGAATCCCCATTCCCATTCCCATCCCCATTCCCACTCGAATCCCCATTCCCATTCCCATTCTTGTTCCTATTCCCATCCCCATTACTGCCCCATCCTGACCCTATTCCCACTCAAATCCCCAGTCTCATCCCCATTCCCCTTCCCATTCCCATCTGTCATCCCCCATTTCCATCCCCATTCCACCCCATCCCATTCCCGTTCCCGTTCTCGTTCCCGTTCCCGTACGTGATGGCCTCCACCATGGCAAGCCCCATGCGGATGGAGCAGG